CCCCAAAACCCCAAAACCCCAAAACCCCGGGCTGAAATAGAGTTATTGATATATCTATTATTCATCTCTTTTGTAATTAAAGCCCTTCAATGATCATATTAGTCATTCCATTCTCCTGTAATATTGACTGAGCTTGATCTCTCGACATTCCACAATCTCCCAAATAGATACTAACTCGTCTATTCTTAACACTCTCAACTTTCGCCAGCCCCTTCACAATATTTTTAAACTTTTCGAACCCATTTCTGTTCCAATTGCTATAAATACTGTGCCCTGTACCTTCAAAATCAATGTTGGTAAAAGTAGCTTGGTCTAGTCTGCCGCCAAAGTCCACTTCCGCACTAGAGTCTATCTTGCAGTGCCTAAACTGTACATAGTCTGTGTTCTGCGCAGCCACGAGGAGGTCTTGGAACTGAGATTTGGTCATCGCCCAGTTGATCAGGTCAACTCTGGAGGGAATGAGGGGGAGGGTCTTGGTCAGAGTGGCCATATAAGGAGTGAGTTCAATGCAAGAAGTAGTGTAAGCGTTGGAGTGGAAGTATTTAACGTTGGAGCTCAGAGCGTTGGACAAGAACTTGCTTATCAGCTCAGGCTCGTTGAAAGCATAGATGTGGTTTAGAGAAAACTTCTTCAGAGGAGGGAGTTTGAATAACTGTAGAGTCTTCAGTAACTCTTGGTCGGAAGTATCGCTCACACAAATTGTAAGCTCTGAGTCCTCATCGTATGAATCTGAGGACTCCTTCATGGCATTATGAATTGCTTTTAATTCTGTGTAGTCGAGAGTGTGCTTAGACTGATGCAACGTGTTCTCTAGAATGCTGTTGGCCTGCTGCAAAGTGTCCTCGAGAACGAGTATCTCCTGCTTCATTTCTTCTGCTTGTCTGTTGTGTTGCTCTTGGTCCCTTTCAAAAGTCTGGATTTGCTGGGTGAGGTGGTCGATTTCCAGTTGTCTTTGTGAGGAAACTTGTTCAAAGTTATTCTTCTCCTGACTTAATGTTCGGATAGTATCTTCAAAGTTCCTCTTGTCTTGCTCTAGTCTTTCCAACTGAGCATTCTTGTATGTGTCTCTACGAGAAGCTCTTACCAATGCTTCTTTGAAAGGGTTGATCTGAAGTATTTCTTCGATTCTGTCTCTGATGGCTCCCTGAGAAATGTTACTGACCATTGGATTACAACCTCTAGTCTGTCTGAATTCAATGCAATGGCGCTGCTTGGTGTAGTTCTTCATGATCTCTGAGCAGAATAGAGAGTTGATCAAATCCTTCACCTCAAGGTGGATGAGGACTAGTTGTTCCCAATTATTTCTCCTCTTTATGATTTGAAGTTGCTCTAAAAAGGTAACAATATATATTGAATAAAGCTTTAAAAGCTAGAGCAGGTCGATATATAGCTACCAATGAAAGATAGCGCTAATATGCCAGTGTTCAGACAAATGATAAATCAAAGCCAATGAAATAATTCACAAAGAATAGGCCATTATATATTCCTCACTTACTCTTGAGCTCGTTGCAAGTGGTCTTAAAGCCTTCAAGTTGTGGCAAAGCTGTATGCCACACTTGGTGCAGTCCATGTTCAGTCTTGAAGAACTCAATTTTCTCGATGTTATGATCGGCTTTAACCGAAAATTAGAAGATTCATAAAAATAATAATTAACAGATAGAAAATATAAACGGCAAAGAATAAGGGTATGTTAAAGTTAGCAAGAAATTGGAATTCTTATGGTGCCAGTTCCACGAGGTCTTCATACTCCCTCTCTTACCAAGATTCAGAGACTCAGTAATGACATCAATATCAGGGATGGGCTCTGAGTCTTGGTCTGAGTATGTTGTCATCATACAAAGTGAACATACAAGCAGGTTTTTCTCCAGAGTGTTTGTGTCAGTCTTCCTGACCATGTAAGAGACTTTCTCTCAATCAGGAGTGGACTTGCACATTGGCAATGCTCTCATTATTTTTAATATTATAAATTTGAATTAATTTTCCCTTTATATACTTTCATTCGATCATTTAAGATTGGGGTTTTGGGGTTTTGGGGTTTTGGGG